AGTAACTTAAGTCCTATGTTTAATTTAAAATGAACAGATAAATCTACACAAGGCCCTCCAGAAACAGATGGGGTAAGATTAAAAGTAACACTCAGTAGCGATATGCTAGTTTTTTTTGAGATGAGCTCTTCAGTTCAAAACATCCCCATCGTATCAGACAACTCAGATTTGCTGCTAAAAAGATTTGCTCAGGCACTAGCCTAAAACAGGACACTAATACGGAAACATTCCTATTTAGAGTACATTCCTTAAGACAGAAATTCACGTACAGGAAGAGCAGCCCTTCTCCACATGACTCATCCAGCCCATTGTACATGTGCCAATCCAAATGACGTACTTATCGCTGTGTCTTTGGCAGGGGACCTGGGAGCCTTACTGGGAACCGCGAAGACACATCCAGCAAGCCTGTCAAAACAGGCACTGTTCACACATAGCTAAGAGGATGAGACAGAACCATCCTCACATGACTTCTGTGGTGGCACCGGAAAGCCGTGGAAACAGATGAAAGGCATTAAACAGCTCCTTGCTCCACCGTAGGAGGATGCCAGCTTGTCAGGATGCTGATCTTGAGCTTTTTCTAAAGCAAAAGGTAGACGTGCTTCATCTCTGAAAGAAGGCAGCATTCCTGTCGGTGGGATGCAGATTTCTAGTGTTACCACTTAGAGCTGGCACCATTTGTCTGCTCAGCAAGTCTTGCACGTGGACACCGGTTCCATGCACATCACACGGGCAGCGCTGGTTCCACAGCGTGATAAATCCTTTGCTCAGCAGGGCAACACGGCAGGATGAGGGATGAAGGAGTGCTCTTCTGCTTACGTTACAATGCAGCTTTTTTCAAGCCCGTAGGATCAATCTAGCTACTCTTGGAATACCTCCAAGCGCACAAAAACTGTAATTTGCTGCCAGCCAGGCACAGCACCCTCTAGTTCGATCACCACCACCAGTCTTGTCTTGTGGACACATCGCAAAGCGACTGGTTACGGAAGCAGGTTCTAGAAGTCTGTAATACATCAAGTTCAACAGTAGGGATATACAGTTCACCCTCAGAGCATGGTGATGAGGATTCTTTTCCGCAGGTTCTTCTGCTTTTCTCCTTGATGTCAACAGATGTTTAGAAGTCTGCAATACATCAAGTTCAACAGTAGGGATATACAGTTCACCCTCAGAGCATGGTGATGAGGATTCTTTTCCAAGTGTGAAAAGAAAAGTTTGTTCCAGTCAAATTGAGGATAGTGTCATGATCTATCACTACTGGGCAGGTATTGCCGCCAGCTGATAGTCCCAACTCTATTTCAAACAGTACAAATCAGATGTTAGGCACATCTGCAGAGAAGGACATCTCTGAACATACAACGGACCATAATTACAGATATCTAGGAAGTCTGGTAGCTCAAATCATGCATGAGTCATTCATAAAAATACCTGGGATTAGTCTGTTTAAAACTTGATGGCTCAGGATTTGAATAGTAGTTGCTCAAAGTTCTGCCCATAGCTTTTAATCAAGCTTTGCTATGAATGCACTTGAGCTAAGTGCCAGGTCTAAAAATCCAGGTTCAGCCCCCACCCAGCTTCAACCAATTGTTCATCTCTGCCACGTTCCCAAACAGGCAATATAGCTCTTGAGATCTAACTCATCAAGAGAACGATTCTCTGAAAAGAATCATTGAATGTTTTGGGTTGGAAGGGACCTTTAAGGGCCATCCAGTCCAGCCCCCCTGCAATGAGCAGGGACACCTTCAACTCCATCAGCCGTCCACTGGTGTAGTAGAGAACTCTGATTCCCTGTCAGCGATGAAAATCTCTTTATAGATCAAAACTTGGGAGCCTGCACACCTGTAACGGGCCAGCTCCTTCCTTAGCACTTCGTTTCGCACACACCATCCTGCAGCATTAGACCTCCCCACAGCCAGAATTAGCCTGGAGCGAGGCAGCCCCTAACCTTCAGGTACCAGATTGTCTAAAACTTAGGTAGTGCGGAGCTCTACAGTGCAAGCTGTAAGTTCTTCTGTGGACCCAGCACATGGAAGAGTCTTTGCTGTCAACCTTTGCCTTGTCTATGAAAAACTGCTTTTTCAAAACACTTTTCCTAGAGGTGTTGACATGTTCCAGCATATTGTCAGGTGGCATTTGGACGGGCTTTAAATAGCACAGGGCTAGGAGTCACATATTAAAAACAGTATCTACTAAACAGTGTTCTCTCATTAAGCCTCCTAACACTACGCTCAAAGCTAGCTCAGGAAAGATGCAATCCAGCTTCTGATGGTACCTTCTGCTCCCTACCAGAACTGGGGACACGACTAGTTAAGCCTGAAAACCATTCTACAGCAACTGCATTAGTCAAGTACTAACTTTACTTACTGGCATTTTCAACTCCATTCATTAAAAGGCTATGTATACTTTTTTTATTATTTATTTCCTTCATAAACTGGGAAGGAAAGCAGTTTGTTTCCTTAAGTTCCTCAAGCACAAAGCAGCATGTTCTGAATCGCCTAGGATCTGCACTGCTCATTTTTGAAAACCCTACCCTAAAATAATCCTGGTATCAGCATCTGCACAACTTAAAAGGCATATTTTTCTAGTCAAGGATATTGATAAAACTATCATCATTTCTCTGAGATCAATTTCTGAGAAAAAAAAAATAAAGTACCTGCTCCATAGTTGGGGAAAATGAGGATTCTTCTGGAGTTCATGTTTTATAACTGTGATTCCACCCCCCCCCCCCCCCCCATACACTACAAAGATACATCCATTGTTAAGAACTTTAAATTCTTATTTGAATCTGAAAGTTAAGGCAGATCATTGTATTTCTGCATATAGACTATTTAGACAGGAAACAGGACTGTACTGGGAAGAATCTGGAAATGAAGAAAAGACCAGAAACAGGGGATACCTATAGCAACATATACCTAGGGACTGTCCAGGCATCTTGGCCAGCGACCCCTAAGCCCACATGCAACAGGCAAGCTGCTCCATGGCATGAAAACCACCCCTTCCTGCCAATCCGCCCCAGACAAGCGGCGATCTCCCCAGTGAGAAATTAATATAGAATCATAGAATCATTATGGTTGGAAGAGACCTCAAAGATCATCAAGTCCAACTGCATACCCAATGCCACCATGCCCGCTAAACCATGTCTCGAAGCGCCACATCTAAACGTTTTTTGAACACCTCCAGGGATGGTGACTCCACCACCTCCCTGAGGAGGCTGTTCCAATGCTTAATGATGCTTATAGTGAAGAAGTTCTTCCTAATATCCAACCTGAACCTCCCCTGGCACAACTTCAGACCGTTTCCTCTTGTCCTATCACTGGTTATCAGGGAGAAGAGATGAACTTCCACCTCACTACAACCTCCTTTCAGGAGGATACGGCTCTGCAAAATTGGGTATGGCAGCTCAATCTTATACCCAGAAAGATTAAACAAACAAATCCGTACATGATACAACCAAAGAAGGAAGTGATAATTATTATTGTTTAAAGCTGAAAACAAAATATGAACAAAACTCACAAAAAGGAGAACATCTGAGCAGTTAACTTTATTTAAATTAGCTCCTGTAAATTTTCCACCAGGGCATCTATAAAGAAGTATACTCTAACTTCTTGATATCCTCTGGATGCAGCTTCCAGACAGTCAACATCCGCTTCCACTTTCCATTCGAGTTACTTGAACTTCTTCTAAATAATTCCTTGCAAGTTTCGCCAATGGTCACGTTTAAATAGTGTTCACCTAATTCTAGTCAAAGGGAGCTCAGATTGCCTAGTCAAGTTTCAGTACTTACTATCAGTGTTTGAATACATGTCTGTCCTTTTAAATGTCCCATGAGTAGCAAACAGATTGACTGCTATTGGTTGAGCAGACCGGACTATATTTTTGCAGCTTATGATCAAGGTACAACATCAGACATTCTTCCAGGTTGCCACACAAACGTGTATATTATTGGAGCAGTTGGCACAGAAGGCTTGTTAAAAGACTTCAGTTTTGTTTGTTCTTGTAAGAGTCCAAGCATCAGTTCCTTGTGTTCATGCATTAACTAAGCAACTCACCTAAGATTTTCTGAAATACTAAAACCAAGGTAAAATTCCGAAGTTCCCGAGACCTTGCTGATCTGAAATACTACAGACTGGTTTTGAAATAACCAAACAGAAACCTGTCAGTTTTAAGAGTTTGCACAGGTGTAAGCAGGACATTATATTAATAATTCCCCTATGTTTCAATAATTATTAAATAATTAGTCTTATAAAAAGATTACCTAAGTTACATTTCCATGTGCTTGCATGGACTATAATTTCCTTCCGGTAGCATTAGAAGTTTAAAAACCTGTACTTGTAAACATTTTCTTTCAGAACCTGTCAAAGGATATCTGAAGATATTTTTCAGTCTCAGAAATATAGCTCAGTAACTATATAGCCAAAACATTACAAAAACAATGAGTGACAAAAATACTTATGAACTGTGTTTATATAAACATATTGGCTTGTAAACAAGTTGATAACATTCACATTAAACATTGAAAGAAAACTTCAAATGAGACAATTTGCATTAAAGAGAAAAATAAGTTAAAAATCACATCTTAATTATTCCATTGGTTATTACTAAGTCAGGCACCTGGCAGTTTCAGAACTGAACTGTACTAAAACACGGCAACAATGCTGAATCTTGTCATTTACACCAGTGATTTCCTCTGAGAGCAAAAGCCACCTCATAGTTACCCGAGGGTTCCCACGGTAACTCAGTGGGGATAACAGTATGAAAAAGACTTACTCTTCACAGACTGGGAACTCGCCACTACAGTGGATGTTTTTGGCATACTTTAAGGACAGTTTCTCGTTAGCTATACTTTCATACGGGAATCCCAGAAATGCCAGCAAAACTAATGCAAAAGTTAAGTCTCAGCCTTCTGAGACTGTAAATCTCATCCAAATCTTTCTAGCAACATTTGCACCAGCTGTTTTGCAGGATTTTAGTTAATTCATGAGCTTGAATAAAAGTTCGACAAGTTAGGCATGAAAGTATTTAAGAAAACCTAAGTTAACAGAAAAGCATCATGAACTATGAAATAGTTACAATAGTTCATCAAATTATACATCAGAAAGGTACATATACGTTTACTCATAAAACAATATTTTCTCTATATTATTCAAACTCAGCTTCAATATTTGTTCTGATTAACAGTGATACTCAAAGTGATATTCAGTTTTTTACCCCTTTAAGTGAATACACTTATTTCCTCTATTTTTACAGGTGCAAGGATCCTTATTTGGATACTAATTCCACATAGGTATGACTTTCAACATAACTTTAAATAACATTTTTACATCTTGAAGGCAAAAGGTTATCAACGGTAATAAACAGACAGTTCATCATCACTCATGTCTGAATCATCTTCATCCACTTCACCTTCAATGACTGATTTCTTGCCTTTGCAGCATGAAACAATTAATCCAATTAAAAAGACCTGCAAATTTAAAATAAGAAGTAAAAGTTACTGTTATTCAATTAAGGGGCATACACGGACAATACATGTAAGACGGAATGTCAGTGTGGTGATGCAAATGATTCAATGACAACTACTGTAAATTATCCAACTTGATTCAGTGATCTCTATAATCAAAGTACTTACTGCAATGAATGCCCAGTTCCCAAAGTAATAGGCAGCACTGAAGAACCAAAATTTATGAAGAAAGAGGTATGTCCGAGTAACAATACACTGATCTAAAAAGGAAGGCAAATAGTACTCGTTAACACAGAACAAGTGAAAAAATGAGCTAATCCCAAATTATAGGATAACAATTCAACAGTTTTGGAGAGTATTCAGCTCTGAAGAACAACTACACTCCATTAAATCAAATTTACTCTCCTCTACCAAGAAGGTATACAAAAAGAACACTTGTTGTTATGGGAGAGTGAATGCGAGAGCAGGTAACACTGAGCTAAGAGTTACACAGGTAACCCCATGACTGTTGGGTACAATTTCTCCTACAGATGTGCCAATTATTGCCTGTTCTGACAGATCCTAGTCACTCACTTCCCATTTCAGATAAAACTGTAGCCGTAAGGAGGAGATACAAAGCAGATTCTGTATTAAAAGACACATTTCAGTACTCTGAAAAAAACATCTCTACCAGGACTGCATAAGTTTTGTAAAAATGAAAGTCAATTACAATGTTGAGTTGTATAGGCAACAGCCCCCAGCACATACTGGGCCTTTTGTGACCCAGGTAGCAGCGGGCTTATTTGTACCCAAGACCTGACAGTACCAGTTAAATCTTATTCCTTCTCTAACACCATAAATACAGCTACATCTAAAACTACTACTGAAGTGGCAGAATTTAACAGAATTAAGAATCAAATTGTCAAGGCAGTCAGGATGGCAGACAGGTAGCACAGAGGCTTGCCGGGACGCTGTGGTGGGCAGCAGGAGACGCGGTCCCTGCACGGAGGGGAGCCCCCACCTCATGCTAAGGTGTAACGGCATCTCCTCTTGTTCTCACTTACTACGCTTCAAACCCCACCTAAAGCCCATTTCAGAGCAGAAACTGGTAGCTAAACAATTTGAACACCAGAGAAAGTAAGCAACCCAAAATTTGCCTGTTCTTCCCCCAGTTCTGACCCCAGGCGAGGAAATACTCCCCAAGGTGCAGCTGAGGGAGAGACTTCTCGCCCCCTAAAGCGGTGAGACAGACATGCTGCTGCTTATCTAGTTTAGCTTTTAGCAGCCATCTAACAAGCTGACCATCATCAGTTTCTGAAGGTAACTATTTTATTTAAAGATTCAGCGTCCACATTAGCTGCTTTAAGATATCACATACCACAGCTCACTGTTTCGTGGGGTCAGGAGTTAAGGATCGATCCTTTTTGAGGAAGGTCTGCTGCTCGACCTTGCCAAGATGATCACCTCAAACCATATCCCTATATGCATCTAGAATGATTGTATCTGAACAGACAACCAACTCCATTCCTTCAACAGTTCTACAAAGACTTACACTTTATAAAAGTAACAGAATAATTTAAAACATTAAGTTCAACACTACTTTATGCAGCAGACTGATTACTGGAATCTATTACACAGTATCAGCAGACATAAAAGAAGTTAAACTGGGATTTCACAACTACTAGGCACAAGGGATACAACATACAAATGGGCACATTCTGCAGATCATTAAAGTGCAAAACAGCTTCAGTAGAGAAAGCATGCCTCTCCACTAACAGGTACAGAGTGAAAGCACAAGGAAGACATTTGACTGAACTAATCCTTCCTGGTTTTCCAGACTAGATCTCAGTGATGCAGAGAAAACTGATTCCCCCCCGCCCCCGTTAACATCAATCAATAGTACTTACCCCACATAAGAAGTAAAAAAATTGTAAAGTAGCACTCCACTCACAACATGCCACTATTTGCTAGCATGATATGTCCATAGAAAAGGTGAAGTTTCTGGCAAAGTAAGAAATGCTAATAAAGTGAAGATGCTTCATAATTGCAGATAGCATTGTCAACACCATCTGCAGCGCTCCAGCTGGTTACTCAAATTAAAAAACAGCTAAAAGTCCTTCAGATGGTTCTCGACAGTAATTGGATTTAATAGATGATAGTAAATATTTTAGAACAGTTTGACCTGGAGAAAACATTTCTATGGAATGTATCACGAGTTCAGCTACGTACATTTTAGTTATTCCTTCTGAACTAAGGTATTACTAAATAGCCTGACATAGCATGACATTTTTAATCCACTTATTCCCCTATATGACATACTTTAGATTAAGTTGTAATGAAGAACCTGAAGTAAGGTAACTACTTCTTATCCAGAATGATCGTTGTGAACATTACTGACATATCTTGATCATTTGGAACAAAAGTATATATGGAAAGCTACCAAGTCTCCGACAGATAGCCGCCACCACTTGAAGAATACAACATATTATGTAGTGCTGACCAAGCAACAAAGCCAAACAGCCAGAATTCAAGACAAAACAATTTTTGAACAAAGGATGACAAGTGCTAATAGCCATGACTACCTGAAGAGTCAACTACGTTTTACTTCAAGTTCACTGATGAATTTTCTCATACCGGTGAATTAGAAAACCCTTAGGCTCAATGCACTAATGTTTTCAAACAAAGGCTTCTTCCAAGAAGTGAATTAGCTAGTTTAAGATGAATTACAAGGATAAACAAATCTGTTGACAAACAAATCTTAAATCCTAAAAAGTCATTTCATGCACTGGAAACTCAAAATTATGAGAACTTATTTACAGATAACGAAGCCTGTCTTTTCTGCATCTCAAAATACAGTGAGTTTTCACAAAAGCATATAGAAAGAAATAGTTTCAGGGAAGAGATACAAATTGTTGTGAACAATGTAATTTAAAAATATTGGCATTCTTTGGGAGTCAATACTGTGGAGCACACTTGTTTTACCTCTTCATTAATCAACTGGACATTGAAACAGATTATATCCTCTGTAAATCTGTAGATCAAACTGGGGAGAAGTGGGGAGCAGAGGCCCAACACACTAGATAAGATTCAGATGGAGCCTATTTTTCCAGCCCCTTGAAATACTCCTCACAGTTTAACAGAAGTCCTGCACCTGGAACAAGGTGACACCACACAACAGTGCAGGCTGAGGGCTGACCAGATACAATGCAATTTTGCAAAAAGTGACCTCACGGCCCAGCGGGCAAACGGAACATGAGTTATCAGTGTGCATCTGCAACTCAAAAATGTCACTGAATAGGAGGCTTCACTAAGAGGAGTACAGCCAACAGGTCCAGGGAAGTGATCGCTTCCTTCTGCTCTGACTGGAACTGCATCTGCAACAGTGCCATTTTGGGCTCCCCAGTAAGAAAGCAGCACTGACACACTGGAGCAAATCCAGCAAAGGACCACCGCAACAGTGAGAGCACGCAGCATGCAGCGAGGACGTGTTTGTTCAGTTTGAAGTGAAGGTGTTAGCAGGTGTCTCACTGCTCCCTCTGCTAGCGAGTAGGGACTACAAGATAGAGGGCGAGATTCTTCCTAGACCTGCCCAAAAGGACAACAGATGACAGAGTTGCAGCAAGAAATACTCCTATTAGATAACAGAAGGAGCTTCACTATCAGCACAGTTAAACATTGAAGCAGGCTACCCAAAGACATTTCAAAATCTACATCTGTGGAGAGATTCACAACTGGATGGGCCTGAGCAACCTGCTGGGGGTGTTGGACCAGACTTCCTCCTGAGGTCTTGTGTGTGCTCAAAATCATTGCAATTGACATTACATGAAGGTAGATAAAGAGACAACATGGATAGATCTAACATTTGGAAACAAATCCTGCCAAAGGAAAAGATTTAGCAAGCTAAGGAGGAGTCAGGAACTTGAAAAGCAGGGACTAATGAGGAACCTGGAAAAACTATTTGGGACAAGTTATCATTTAAAAGGCAAGCTCTGCTTTTTTCCGTGACTGAAGCTACAGATAAGTTGCATTCAATACCTCATATTGCATATCTGCAAATCAAACCCAACCTGATACAAACCTAGAGAGCCAGAAAATGACGCAATCAATGCGAACCAGTGTGGTTTTGTAACAAGTGGTCAGAGGTTACAATAGCTATTTTCAGTTACTTTGCAGTACATTAACTATTGTAGCTGTCACATAACTTCTTGCTGGTAATAATTACACACTATGAATATTTACATTAAATGGCTCAAGAATCTGCAAGTCCAATTTGTGTTAGCAGGACTTGCTAGCACAAGGTTTCCAGTAAGATCCTCCAAGATTTTATGCTGAAAGGAGAAGAAAAAAGTCACCAGTCCAAGTTTCTGAATGCTACATAATGAGAACAAAGTCCTATTGAGTGATCCGGGCCACACAACCATTTTTTGCAACAGTCAAATTTAAACAAAGTGGCACATACGAAGAGGAAATGCAGGATTTAGTTGCAGAAAGAGGGTACTAGATCTTACAAACAAGCCAGCACAAACAAGCCTTAGTTAAACATAGCCAAGAGTTCTCACCACTTCTCTCTATACATCCAAGGAGCCTATCAGTTGTCTTTTCGCCATTTTAGATTTGGAGTTCATCCTAGCACAGCTATGGCATTACAATGGAAAATTGCACTCAGCTATCAGGTTTCTATTTTAGTTTGAGTACAGAGAATCTGTGAAGGTGCCAAGATCTGCATGTATTACAGACTAGAGGAAAACCACTTAATGAGATCCAAAGAGCTAAACCTGTTAATCTCATTTTTTGTAAGTTTAAAGGATGACTTGATTTTAATGTTTATTAGATACCTTCAAGGGAAGAAAGTACTAATGCTACAATGCCATGTGTGTAGTGAAAAAGTACAGCATTAACCAATGACTAAAATCTGAAGCCATGTTAATTCCGAACAGAGAAATGTCCTTTTTCTACAGAGAAGCAATAAACCATTGGATCAACCTGCAGAGGGAAAAAGTGTTCTCTGTGTTTGTTGAAACTAGATACCTTCTGAAACACTTTGTACAATTTAAATTTAGGTTAACTACAAACACTGGCCAGATATGTTTGGACACAAGCCATATAATTGCTATTTCTTGCCTTTAAATCACCAACTTAAATATGATCTTCTGCAAGATGTTCTCCAAGTCTCCCTTGAACATCTTGTTTTTAAGCAACTAAAAGCAAACAATTCTTATTTTAAAGACATAGCCTTTCATAAATTTCAAAGGCAATACCCTAGGGATGAACATGGATGCAA